CAAGCCGTGCGGAACAGAAACTCTATCTCGTCAAACGTAACATGACGAGACGTGATCACCCGCCTTGTCGCGACGTCGTAGCAGCGGTAGTCGCGATGATCTGCGGGGTAGCCGATGAAGATGCACGACGTCGAGCGTCGTTGGAGCTTGTGCTATGTGGTTGCCATGATGTTGGGGAAGCAACGACACCCAAACACGCGCAGCTCGTCGTACGTGGGGGCGATGCCGAAGAGGAGCTGGTACGGCGTCAGGGAGCCAGTGGCTCGGCAGGGACGGCGGTTGACAAGGTACGTCGCCGTGGCCAGTGCCTTGGCCCAAAACTCCGACGGTGCTGCACTGTGTACAAGCATAGTTCGAAGACAATCGTTAAGCGTACAAAGAACTCGCTCAGCTTTCCCATTTTGTTGCGATGTATATGGGCAGGACAGACGCAGGTGGATGCCGTGCGCGGAGAAGAGAGAACGGAGAGCATAGGAATCGAATTCCTTGCCATGGTCAGTTTACAAAGCCAAGATAGGCAATCGGAACTGAGTCTGGACATAGGCTATGAAGGCACGAATGGTGGGCAGGACTTCAGATTTTTGCCAAAGAGGAATGGTCCACAAATAGTGTGTATAATCATCAAGAAACACAACATAATATTTGTAGCCTGAATAGCTATAAACTGGTGAAGTCCAAACATCTGAGTGTAAAAGTTGAAAAGGAAAATAACTATGGGAAGTGGAGTTACTGAAAGGTAATCGGACGTGTTTGCCCATTTGATAGGAAGAGCAAACATGTGCATCGGTCTTATTACACTGAAAATCAAAAGACTGTAATAGCTGGGATAGAACGGGTGTCCCTGGATGGCCAAGCCGCTGGTGCCAGAGTGAGATTCCGGAGGAAGCAGCAAGAGCTTGATGATGCGGGAGCCGAAAAGGATAGAGGTCGCCCATGCTCTCACATCGGAGCATCTCCGCCCTGGTACGAAGATCCTTAACGGAGAAACCAACAGGGTCAAACTCGATCGAAACATTATTGTCGTGGGTTAAGCGACGAACAGAGATTAAGTTTTTGATCAAAGATGGTGAAATAAGAACGTCATTCAGATGAAGGGGATGGGTGGCAGTGGGAATGAATGTTCATGCTTGGTGCGTGACAGGCATGCTAGCACCATTACCCACTGTGATAACAGATGACGAAGGATGAATGGAAGAAGAGGGAAAGTTACCCGGGGACGAGGACATGTGGGACGTCGCGCCGGTGTCGAAGTACCACTCAGATGTGCTCGGTGGTGCTTGCGGAACGCCGGCAGAGTTGAGGACGGCATAGAGAGCAGCAGTGTCGAACGCGTTCTGGGGCACGCCGCCGTGGTGACCAGCCATCATGGCGTGTTGAGGTTGGAAGGGCGGCCGTGGGCCGAGAACACCGGCCCCTGGCGCATGAAATGGCATAGGCCACGCCTGCACCATGCCCTGCCATGGGTTGTAGCCGGCGGCGTAGGGTGTACCCTGGTTGTTGGAGGAGTTGTTGTTGGTCCTCGGTCCGCCGCGTCCGCCGCCGCCGTTGTTGCCGCCGTCCCCGCCGCGGCCGCCACGACGTCGGTTGGAACGATTGTAGGAGCCCCCGGTGTTGGTGCGGTTGTTGTGACGGGGGGTGTCGAAGGAGGATGATCCATCGTTGGCGGAGCCTGATGACGCGCTGGATCAATCACCATGAGAGGCGGTGAGGGCTTGACTGGCTTCAGCCTTGGCGTCGTTCTGGAGATTGATTTCCTCGAGGATGAGGAAGGAACGAGCGCTCATGAAGGTGTGCGGCGGGTGTTTGGCGGTGATGACCGGCTTGATGTAGCGGTACTTGGGGTTGAGGCCGCGGAGTAGATTGAGCACCTGGCTCGGCTCGGAGACCGGGTGGCCGATGTCATGGAGCTGATCGGCGAGCCTCTTCAACTTGGTGCAGAACTCATTCATCGACAGATCGCCTTGCTGCAAGGAGCGCAGCTCCGCCTCCAGGTAGACGGCGTGCTGCAGCTCATTATCCTGGAACAGGTCCTCGACGGCGTGCCACAGAGAGAACGCGTCGTGGCGATCACGACGAACAATGTCGAAGACGGACTTGTGGACGGTGGAGAGGATCTAGTTGACGATGCATGCGTCAACCATGCGCCACTCGCCGTCACGATCATCATCGGGCGCAGTAGAACGGACGTGGCTCTGAAGGCCGAATTTTCCGAGGGTCGACTCGAAGAAGAGACGCCATTGGCCGTAGTTGGCCTCGTCCATGTCAAGGATGACAGGAACGTGATGGCGGATGGAAATTCCCTGGATCTGGGAGGCGCTGGCTGGATCAATGGAGAAGCCATCATCGGAGGACTCTGAGTTGTTGGAAGAGGGAGCCATGGCAGCGGAAGAAGTGGCGAAGGGATTTACGAAAACCTTGGACGATGATACCATGTAGAAGGGAAAGCACAGAGAGAGTATGATCCAAACTCCACACCTTATATTGATCTCAAATGTTACATATATATAGTTACATGAGAGGCCATTGGCCATGATTACACAGGTGGTGCGGGCGAGCACGCTACGGCAGTTGTGCGAGCGCGCATCAATCGGATTGCAGGAGAATCGCCGTGGTGACCGCGTCCAGCGGAGCAAGTGCGGGAGCGTGGGCACGTTGTGCCCCTGAAGACTCGGCAATGATCTAATTGCCATGGGAGATACGACTCTGCTGACAGCCCTGAGAGTACGTCGCCTGCTGGTGAGTTGCCGGTGGAGCATGGTGTGGCTGCTGGTTTTGGTTCAATGCCGGTTGGGCACCAAGTGGATGTCCGCCGCGTCCAGCCATTGCCGGAGGACGGGACGAACGCACGACGTCGGCGTAAGAACGAGATGGACGAGTATACGATTGGCGGCTGGAATTAGGGTACCGTATTCTGGTTCCAGTGCGTGAGAAGAGATCAATCAGACCCTTCACAGACCGGTACCACTTCCTAGGCCCAATACATACCAAATCTCGGCCCAGCCTCTGTTTCAAATTTGATTTTGAATTTCCCAGCGTAATTCTCGGCACCGTCCGTGTTGCCGAAACCGACAACGGACGGAAATTTCGAGATCACGCGTGAACCATAATCTGACGAACTGCTAGCTCCGGCTAGCAACGCCGGCGTTGATGAATGACGAGAGCCACTCCTACAAGGTGAGGATTTGCTTCTCCAAGCAACCTCCAGTGCGTCTCCAAGAGTCCGTGGGGGAGAAACCCTTGGAGGCGGCAACTGACCTCGCCATGGAGTAGGCTTCACGCGATGTTGCACCAGCGCAGATATGATACGTTTCGCCAACGGCGGTGTACATCCAGAAGAAGACGTAGCACTTACCAGAGTACCTTCGTTGAGTTCATGTTCAGCTTGGAGTAGATCCTGTGTAGAGAAGCCGACCTCCGCCGCCACCGCGATAAGCTCTGGTGTGGATGGACTCCAAACCTCTGCAGGAGCCGCAAAAGGATCTGGCGTGGATGGGTTCCCTTCTTCTTCTACAATGATCTCCTCATCGACTTCCTCATCTGATTCATCCGAATCCATGTTTCCACGCCAGAACTTGGAGGATGGAAACTCCATCCCGTGCTTTGCCGGTGGCTTAGAACAGATCGCTGCCACGGATTCCACAATTGCAGATAGTTCTGCCCTTGCACTTGTGTAATCCGTGTCCAAGAGGCTGTCCTTGATGACGCTCGATGAGGGCAGCCGAGGCCTTAGCTTTGCCTTGATCGCCGGAGCTAAGGTCAGCCGCCGCCTCATGCATCGCTGTCCTCAGAGCATCAATGATGCTCCTGTCAGCCTCAGGACAGGAGAGCATGTGAAGGTTACAGCAGGCCGCCTCAAAGATCAGCAGCTAGAAATGGATGTTGTTGAGGAGTATATGTAGGGGAAATAATATTGGGCCAGCATGGATGTTCAGCATATAAGAGGGCGCATACATATGTTAAAATATTGTAATGCTCTCTCCTTTAGAAGCTCGACAATGACACTCCATGGAAATTGGGATGCAGCTTTACTCAAAATACTTCGTCAAAAAAAAAAACTAGTTGTTCAATACTGACAAAACTTCTATGTCGTCTGGCTAATTAAGTGATATTTGCGATCAAGCATTAGCCGCGGAAGAATTTTGGTTGAATCTGACGCGATTGATCGAGTTCTGCTTGAACGCTGAGAGCTTCAAAAACAGCATGAATGGTGGTGCATGGATGTTTCGGCAGATGTTGACATATAGCTATATCTATCTATCTTATCACCAACCAGTGCTACTGAATTTGAAAACCACAATCGAAACATTATAGCTAGGCAAACATGTATGTCGGCTACGATCGAGTTTGCAGATCTGATCATGGATGCTGGCTTCCTGTGGACTTACTATGATCTGTAGCATCGGAGAGATAAAGACCGTTGATGATTCCTTCTGTCTACCATGTGTACAATAATCACTGAATTCTGACAAAATTTTGATGGTTTACCACTGAATTTGCTCGCTGAGATATGATTTGCTACAGATAGCATACTAAAGTCTATCCCAGCCAGAGAAGCCGTCGACATCTCATGTCATTTGTTTGCTTCAGCAAGAGCCAAGAGCTAGCCTCTCCCCGGATCGGATCAGCTGGAACTCAATACAAGACGGGAGACGGGTGGTGCCCGCCCTGGCCCTGCTGCCACCCACGATGCCCAGTTGCCCACTCGCGGAGAATAGCCGACGTCTGCGCACAAACGTGTTCCAGCATGGATGGGTACAACCAGCCTTTACTCTCCCCGGCCGGATATATCGAGCTCCAAATGACCGAGATGCCCCTACCACGGGCATATAAATAGAGCAGTCCCCCCAGCACATTTCCTTCAGCTCAAGGCCTTGTCTTGCCCCTTGAGTTCTCTAGCACCTTACCTGCTACTGATCTGCAGCAGCTGATCGATCTTCAAGCTTGCAAGCTTGTTATATTACCCTACTAGCAAGGGACTATACCAGTATACCACCATCACCATGGGCTGCTACGGTGATTTCTTCGAGAAGGCCAAGCCTTACATCGCCATGACCTCCCTGCAGTTCGGCTACGCCGGCATGAACGTCATCACCAAGGTGTCCCTCAACCACGGCATGAGCCACTACGTGCTCGTCGTCTACCGCCACGCCTTCGCCACCATCTCTATTGCACCATTTGCTCTCATCCTTGAGAGGTACTACGTCGTAGCTATCTATCTGCTGGTTAATGTTAATCACCACCACGCATGCATACTGAAATTCTCTTGATTGGAAATGTGGCATGCAGGAAGGTGAGGCCCAAGATGACGTGGTCGGTCTTCCTCCAGATCTTCGTACTGGCACTGCTCGGGTTAGTGCACATAAAGGAACTTTGTGCCTCGTGTCATTTTGTGTATCGAACCTAATTTCTTTAATTAAAGGGAGAAAAAAAGAGAGAGGTGTTCAGCACTGTACTGTCTGAGGCACTAATTCCAGGCCTTTCTGAAGCACTAATAGCATTCACGAAATAATTGTCAGCCAGCTTTTCTGGAGCACTAATACTAACAATTACGTAATTAACCTCGTTCATGTTGTTAATTACATACAGGCCTGTGATAGACCAGAACTTCTACTATGCCGGTCTCAAGTTCACCGGGCCGACCTTCGCGTGCGCCATGAGCAACATCCTTCCTGCCATGACCTTCGTGATGGCCGTGATTTTCAGGTATGGTATTGGTACATCACCTGATCGATCGATCCATCGAGAATGCGATGGATGCAAAACAGAGTATGTAGCCTGCTTAATTACTGGGGAGCACACCTCTAACATTCTTCCGTGCGCAGGATGGAGAAGGTGGACCTGAAGAAGGTGAGGTGCCAGGCGAAGGTGGCCGGGACGCTGGTGACCGTGGCCGGCGCGATGATGATGACGCTGTACAAGGGCCCGCTGATGAAGATGGCGTGGACCAGCCACGGCCACGCGCAAGGGCACGGCGCCGAGGCGCCCGCCGTCGCCGCCGCCATCGACCCCAGCGGCAGGGAGTGGTTCCTGGGCTCGCTCTTCGTCATCATCGCCACCCTCGCCTGGGCCTCCCTCTTCATCCTCCAGGCGCACACCCTGAAGCAGTACGCGGCGCCGCTCTCCCTCACCACCCTCATCTGCTTCGTCGGCACCCTGCAGGCCATCGTCGTCACCTTCGCCATGGAGCACCGCCCCTCCGTCTGGACCATCGGCTTCGACATGAACCTCCTCGCCGCCGCATACGCCGTAAGTCATCTCCGACTCCGATTGGCCACCGTATATATAATTGTGGTGCCTGATCGATGAAGTGCATGTTTCGTTCAGGGCATTGTGACGTCGAGCATAGCGTACTACGTGCAAGGCCTGGTGATCCAGAAGACCGGGCCGGTGTTCGCGTCGGCGTTCAGCCCCCTGATGATGATCATCGTGGCCGTCATGGGCTCCTTCATCCTCGCCGAGAAGATATTCCTCGGCGGCGTCCTCGGCGCCGTCCTGATCGTCATCGGGCTCTACTCGGTGCTCTGGGGCAAGCACAAGGAGACCCAGGAGAAGGAGGAGGAAGAGGCCATGGAGCTGCCCGTGGCATCCAAAACCAATGGAGGAATGATCTACGACGACGACGTCTTCATCAAGGAGATCGCCGCCGCCGCTGTTGGAGATGACTCGGAGTGCAGCAAGGCCAATGGGGTGGTGAAGTCGTCCTCCCATGGACACGGAGCTGCTGGTGCAGTTTGATGCAGCATGGTTAGTGCTAAGCTGAGCGCATAGCTACTACCTAGATGGAAGATGGAAGCGGCGGTGTCCAAGTGCTGTCTTTGTGTCTCCTGAAACCATTTGTGTCTACTGACGTTGCATGCATTTAGCTAGGGTCGGATGATTGAGAGAGGCTGCTGCAGCTGCGTTGCAGAGTGGAAGGACTGGAATAATTTTGTTCTGTGCCCCTTTTTTGCTACCTTTTTGTAATATGATGTACTCCCTCCATCCCAAATTGTAAGACGTTTGATTTTTTTTTTACCACAAGTTTGACCACTCGTCTTATTCAAAAAATTTGTACAAATATAGTCAAATTTAAGTCATTCTTGAAGAATTTTTATTAATAAATCAAACCACGACAAAAGAAGTGATATTTTACACAAATTTTTGAATAAGGCGAGTGGTCAAACTTGATGTCAAAAAAGTCAAACGTCTTACAATTTGGGATGGATTGAGTATCTACTAGTATATTTAACTTGTATTTTCTTATGCTTTAATTTGTGTGGAGAAAGAGTGATGTTCCAGGACTTATGGCAAGGACATATGTATCATAATATATCAACTTTTCCCTTGCAAAACACTATCCTCTATTCTAAATTATAGGTCGTTTTAAATTTACTAGATATACAATATGTCTCAGATATATAATAAAAGTTATGTATATAGGAAAGCTAAAATGGTCTATAAATTAGAATGGAGGGAGTAATATATATATACTGCTTTTCTTACCGAATGAAAAGGCAGCTCCCTTTGCCAGTACTTGCTCAAAATTCAAATATACTCAACTTGTGGTAACTACAATACTAATGATCAAGGATCTACATGCATCAGGAATTAAGAAACTAGGGCCCTGCTATATCTCACGTGCCTGAAATTTTGCATCTGATCAGGCAATGATTCTCATTCATTGGATCTAAATCAGATGGCTTTGGAGCTTATATTCTTCATATTCGTTTGTTTTCTTAAGTTGTTAGGTGCATTTGGTTTTGTGTTTCCAAGCGCCTACACTAGGAAGCGTGATTAAGAAACAGTTTCAACTATTGCACTCTTCGCGTGTGGATGGCTCGATATACGAGCATGAAAACTAAACGGTGTACATTGAGACTTATTTTTTTTCTGGCAAGTTTGAATAAATGATTAAAAAATACAAGCCCCTCATTTTAGAATAAAAGTGTCACTCATCTTTAAAAAAAAAGTGTCACCCCAAACAAGTCATGACCAGTTGAGGTCCTTAATTAGGCCATGTTTGGTATGGTTCTAAATGGCTCTGGCTTCTTACTACAGTACACATAGAGCTGAAGGTGGAGAAGCTAAAAATAATAGTTTTATCATTGACTCCTACTTCATTTTGAAAGAAAAGAGAAGACTCCTCACTGCAATGCACAGAGGAGCCGAAGCCATAGCCGTCCGGAGCTCTACCAAGCGAGCCTTTAGAATCATATCCATTGTTTGTATTTACATAGTTATTGCCTCTTTCTTTGAAAATATAAACATACACCAATATATTGTTCTATGTTTAGCTGGCTGCTAAATTTTAGATTATTTTAGCACAATTGTGTGGTCTGATGAAATAATATAGCCTTTTTATGAGGTTGACTAAACTTTAGACAATAGTTTAGACCACCTATTTGGAGTTTTAAGAATTAAAATTTAATGGTTGCTTTATATCATGAGATCCAGGCCTCAAATATCACATATATTATTTATTTAAAGTTGGGTGCTTATATAAGCAAGCACACACTAGTATTCCCGTGTCCTTTTCAGCATGCATGGATCATTGGGCACCCGTACTTATGAAATGCATTGAGTAAAAGCACGTATTGCGTCACCCAAATTCTATCAGTGGGGTTTCATGGACTTGCATTCAGATTCCACTAATACAGCACCTAGCTTGGTCGATCGGTGGCAAATCCCCCAAAAAAAACCATTTTATTGCGTGAACTGACAGGACATTGTGCGTAACGTCTGATAATTGATTGATTGATGGTATGGATCCATGAACGTTTGTTTGGATACTTGTGGATAAGGCTGCAGCCCTTCCATTTTCCTTATTTTATTTTCTGTTTGTGTTAACTTTTTGTTCTTATTGTCATCTTTCAACCAAAGTTTCCTCAAACAAAAGTTCGAGAAATTTTACGATGATTGAAAAAAACATGAACCATCTATTATGTGAGATCGGACGATGGTAAAATAGGAGGTATCTAATTAAAAGTATCTGGAGGAACCAAATTAGGTGTGGATAGTACCAAATTAGGTGGGTCAGCACAAAAATATGTGGGACAAGATATATTTTTTATTTTATATTTAAAAGGCAGTCTTGGGTCATGAGAGAGCTCATTTGGTCTAGGGAAGGTGTTAGTGGTAAGTCTTACCTCGCGCAGTAATGCGAGAGGTGACCATGATTTGAACCCGGACCTTCCAAATACAAAGCGGTAAGACTTCTTACCGCTGCACTGCGCGCCGCCTTCATTTTTCATTTTATATTTATTTCCAAAAAAGGGTAAATCAGTCATTTACGCATCGTTCTCCTCGCCGTCGCTGTGTGCCTTTCTGAGCTGCCACATCGCCAACACGGCGAGTGGTGTGGCCAGGTCGGACACGCAGAACATCTTCTTGACGAGCATGGACACGGCCAGCACGTGCGCCTGCGCGCTTGCGCGGCCTTCCTCCGCGTCGAGCACAGCCACTTGCCTTCTCGGACATGCTGTTGTCGGCATCTACAAAGGCCTCGACGAGCACGGGGACGAGCCCGGCGGTGGCAAGGCGCGCCGCGACGCGCTCTTCGTACAGGTGGTAGGTCGCCACCATGCCGGGCTTGGTTGCCTGTGGGTCTGATTGGAGACTTGATGGTCTTTGCCGGCGCGTCTACGATCTAGTCGACCTTTCTGCTCACATAAGGACGTGCCTAATGCCGTCAGGATGTCCTCGAGGACTCGACCTTTCCGGTGCGGCGTCAGCAGTAGCAGCGAGCGACTCGAACGCGGCCCGTGCCGATGGACGCGAAGCAGCGCCTGTTCCGCTCGCTGTCCCTCGCGAGGGCCTATATCTTGGAGACCACCTTGGCGCACCGCACCCGCCACGCGCGCGGAGCTGGCGAGGACGAAGAGGAGCTCGGTGGCCGGGCGTGATGGGGATCTTGGGCGTGGGGATGCGCTCGACGCCGCGGGAGCGGATGGCGACGCACCAGTCCTGGATGACGCGGCGGATGGCGCCGTGGTTGGGGATGAGGGTCGTCGTGGCGGAGCGGCGCGTGGGTGACGCCACGGGGAAGGTGGTGCGGCCAGTTTCCAGCCACGCCTAGATGCTCTTATGGTCGTACGTGATACCCGTCGGTGCCTAGGCCAGCTAGCGGAGCAAACACCGATGAACGAGGTAGAGGGTTAGGCAAAGGGCCATAACCTTAGTTACTAAATTAACCTCGATATTATAAACTATATTTAATAAATAATGTTTCTCAATTAGTTGGCTAAAAAATAGAAAAAATAAAAGTACTTGAATTATCAAGATACTTTCCCAACCATTGTAAAAGGTCTCAAAAAGTTATCCAAGGTTAACTAGCATATATCGCGTAAAAATTCTCAAATTTTAAAGGCTTGTTCCATACTATATAGGTTTAAAGTATTAATTGATCATTTTCCCCTGTCTCCTAAACTAGTAGTAACCGTTTGCTTGCTTATCGATTATCATAGGATCAGTTCTTTGAGATTTGAAGATAATTGCTTCTTTTCCTAAAAAAAAGATAATTGCTTCTTGTTCTATTTTATTATTTTTGTTATTATCGTGCCACTTGTCTCGTTGTGCTTTCATGCGCATAAGGTATCTGAATTGTAACAGTGGCAATTCACCTGTCATGTTGCTGTTATATATCAGCGTCCGAAGCGATAGGCTAGACTGAATTTTCAGCCCATTACACGAAAAGCAACAAAAAGATCTGGTGGTGTGGTGCCCCATTTGTTAAAAAGTTAATGCCAAATCTCATATCAGCTTTAATTACCTTTATATAATTAAGCACTAACCCGATTGATTAGTAGTAACTTCGTTCGACACATCTCTGCTGAGTGGAAGCGTCGTACGTTACCGGAGATGTTAGGTACCTGCACGGCAACTGTTGCTCCAGATTTCTTCGCAGAGCCGTGGTGAATGAATCTACCTGATGCAGCTAGCCTCGTCGAGTGCTGCGTCGTGCGCCAACGTTTCTCCACATAACCCTGCCTGTCGCGGTTGCGCAGAGGACAAAGGCATCCATCTCAGGCTTTATATAGCTCTTTTCATCAAACTGAAACTCCTTTTGCGACGATGCTTCCACACATGCTTTTCTGTTGTGCGTGCTGCTTTACGCGTACAGCGCCTTGATGCGTGCGATGGTAGCCGGATCGGAGTGGCTGACCTGACCAATCCATGGCGCCTCTAGGTCGTCGCGGCGGGTAGTCGATTCCTACAGGAGCCAAGCAGACGGGCGCAGGCCGGCGTCGCTCTCGTCGGTGGAAGAGGGAAATCATGGAGGCCACATTGTTGGGGACGGAGTCGTCAGAAAAGCAGGAGGGAGGAGGCAAAGGGCGCTTTCGTGCTTGCATGTTTGCTGTTGCTGTTGCTGCCGAACAAGGCTCCTCGACACCACATCCACCATGGCTACTAGTGCGTGTACGTTTGCTTGAGGTTTCCCTACTCAGATAGCACTGACGACTTAAAATGAGGCTGCAACTGCAAATCAAAAGGAGGTCTTTTTAATTTACTCCCCCCTTGGTCCATAGAATAAACTGGTGGTGTTGGGTCGGTGTACGTCAGATAGGGAAATGGAGTTGCTAATGCAACAAGTTGCCCTGTTCGCTTGGACTTGTTTGGCTGATAAGCCATGGCTGAAAGTACTGTTGGCTGATTTGGTGTGAGAGAAAAATACTATTCGTTGACTGAAAAAGTACGGCTTATAAGTCAAACAAGCTCAAACGATCAGGGTGAAGGAAAGATCCGGGGATCAGGCTAAG